CGGTAAAGAGTATGTATTTAGATTTTTTAGAAAATAATTTACCAGTACCGCTAAATGATGAAAGTTTTAATACAGGTGGAACATACTTTCAATATGATGGTGCCGCACCACATTACAGGCGCATAGTTAAAGATTTTTTATCTGACAATTTTCCTAATAGATGGATTTGTAGAGGCGGTCCTTATGTCTGGCCTTCACGATCATGTGATTTAGATCCCATCGATTATTATGTCTGGAGATATTTTAAATCCAAAGTTTGTAACAATGAAATACAAAGTAGGGAAGAACTTCTTGATTGGATTCGAGATGCCTCTTAAGAAATGAAAAATAAACCCACACGAGATTAGAAAGTCAGTCAGACATATTACAAAATGTGCAAGACTTTGCCTTCAACAAGGCAGTGGTCATTTTGAACAGTTATTTTAGTTTTGATAACAGTTATTTTTCTGCAAATTTTTGCTTTTTTTATTTTTAAGATATTTCGTTGAATAAAGTTATGAATTTTTTGGGGAATCTCTATTATTTATTCATTAATTAAAGATGAATATTGGTTATGGATTATGTGTCGCACATAATAAAAAAAATACTGAAATGTTAATAATATATCAATTTACATATATTAAATAATGGTATTAATTAAAATCAATGACGTATAATATATAGACTACGCAGTCCCCTATTCTCGCTATAGAATCGAGTGTCCGAAAGATCTCGGCTCAAGGTTGAAGGTATGTTTATCAGAACAGCGGCGTGCTCATTTATATGTCAATGACAATAATTATTTTTTTAATTAAAATTAAATATTTATGATTTCCTTTTGTCCCGTCTATAAGAGAAATAATTATTTTGATAAAATAGTATGGCATTTTACTAAAATAGTAAGTAAATAACTCTCAACAATTTAAAATAAAATTTGCTTGTCACAAAAAATGGAGAAAATGTTTTCATACGTCCATGATGTTTTCAAACACAAGATCAACTTCGTGATGCTTCGTAAGAAATCATGAACTTCGTGCATCTTCGTATCAAAACAATAAACAATAACAAAGGTATTCATGTTTTGGACACTTTTTAAAGCGTTCACCGAGTCTATATATTATACGTCATTGATTAAAATTAAGTCGCATTCATTTTTTTTTTCTATTTCGAGCTCTCGCAATTCACATAATTTCCGAATTCAAATTCCAAACTTGGCCAGAAAAAACATTTTGTCAAAAATTCAAATTATATACCATTAAATTTATTTTTTTATTCTCTTTTCAAACTCAGAATCCATTTTTTAAAAATCCAATAAACAGGGTGTTGTTTTTGGGTCGAAATATTTTTCCAATTTTTTTAACTCGGATCTGGATTTCTTATAATTATAAATAAAGTAATCGATCGGACAGCTTTAAGTATATTCGCGTGCCAAATATAAAAAAAATATACAGTGTGATTAAAAAACTGTGAATTAAATAAGAAGTTGGCAAAATAGATAAAACACCCAGTTTTATCTTTATTATCTTTGTTATTGATAAAGTAAAACCCATTACGTATGAGGTTTTTGAGATCGCCTAAGTGTCCTTATTTTATAGTTAACGTATGTTACTTTCCCAACGAAACACCCTACATATATTATATATATATATATATATATATATATATATATATATATATATATATATATATATAATATATGTATATATATATATATATATATATATAATATATATATATATATATATATATATATATATATAAATATATATATATCTATATATATATATATATATATATATATATATATATATATATATATATATATATATATATACGTGTGTGTGTGTGTGTGTGTATGTAAAATAAGCAAGTTTAAGTCAACTAGTGGTAGTAGGCTCTCAATAATTTAGAATAATTCATCGAGTTAGAATCTATGGAGAGGGCATCACGTGACTAAAAACGACCTCACTTCGGCCATATTGGTATTATTCTTTTGAAGCTTTTGACAGATCGTATATGTTTGTTTACATTTGTTGTTTTTCGAATATTTTCAGTTTTATAATACTTTTATAGAAACTGTAATATATTGTGATAGTGCATAATAATGGTTTCTTGTTCTCAACGTAGTTGCAGTAGCAGAAGCAATGTTTATACAAATATGTAAACAAAGTAATGGCCCGTACTTCAGAGAAGAAATTAATAGTATTTGACTGTATTAATTTATCTTTATGTATAATATATCGTGTTTTTAGTGTTTACCGCGGGATAAATAAATCGTAGTTTATTAAAAATGTATTGCACTTTTTTAGATTATGATTAAATCTTCTGAATAACTAGTCATATTTGTATAACAGTTTTAATATTATTGAGTCTGGCCCTGATGTCACCGCCATATTGGTATTATCGTTAGCCATGCCTACCTACGCCGTTTTTAATACATACGTTAATATGCTCATAGCTTCTCCATAGATTCTAACTCGATGGAATAATTATATACATAACCAAAAAATCCCATATCAGACCTAACTTTTTAGGTACTAATTATGTCAAGTTTCTCTAAAACGTCTAATGGACTACCTTAGTTCTGACCTCACGATGGGCGGGGCTTGGAAAACTTTTCCAAAAATTTTTAATTCGTGTGTTTTTTTCCATAGGAAGTTGTAAATATTGGTTTTTTTTATTATTAGTTATGATAAGATATAATGGTTAATTTGTGAGGTATCTCAGTGTCCACGTTTGAAGTTTGTTAATATTTGAGTAAAACTTATTTTTGACTGTATTTTAAGGTATTTTGTTGTTGTTTTATCGGTGTTATTTTAAAATTATTCAATAAATAATTGAAATTACTATTTAAATGGTAATAGGTCACAATTAAAGGTTAAAGTTAGTTTGTGACGTTTCAATTTCCACTTTCGATTTCACAGAACGATTTCCTTTAACGATAATTACTTTAAAATGGCACAAGAAAACAGCTTCTTCTTCTAGTTCCACTCCTATCGGAGATTGGAAATCATTCTGGGAATTATAATTTTGTTGGTTACGCGCCTGAATAGTTCAATTAAACTGCATCCAAACCATTCACGGAGATTGCGTAGCCACGAGATTTTGCGTTTTCCTACGCTTCTTCTGCCTTTGATTTTACCTTGCATTATATTTCTTAGTAGTTCGTAATTTTCACCTCTCATGATGTGCCCCAAGTATTCCAATTTCCTGATTTTTATGGAATTTAAAACTTCGCATTGTTTTTCTAGATGTTCGAGAACTTGTTCGTTTGTTGTGCGATCCATCCATGATATTTTCAAAATACGTCGGTAACACCACATTTCGAATGCTTCTAGGTTTTTAATGTTGGATTTTTTAAGTGTCGAAGCTTCAACCCCATACAAAAGGGTAGAGAAAATATAACATCGAAGCATTCTTATCCGGAGCGATATATTGATATCGCGCTTACAAAAAAGTTTTCTCATTCTATTAAAAGTTGACCGTGCAATTTTAATGCGGCATCTTATTTCTTTTGTCTAATCAGTATCTTCTGTGATCCATGATCCAAGGTATTCAAAACAACTTCAGAACAATATAAATAATTGAATTTATTTACCAAGTTGAAAAGTTAATAAAGTAATGTTTTATTCTTTTTTATGTACTTGTGATTTTATCTTGTGAAGACTAAATATATTCGTTTTCTCGTAGTTTAAGTAGTTAATAGTAGTTTTGTTGTCATACTGAAAAATTCAGTAATACTGGATATCTTCAACACATGTTTACTTTGCCATTATACGCCCAGATCTAAAAATAAACACAATTTAGTGTTGTAATATTACAACACTCAAAAAATATTTTTTTAAACACTCACTATGGCAATTTCATAGAAAGGTTTCTACAGAATGTTATATTATAACTAAAACTGAATGTCCTTATTCACTACATAAACTACGAGAAAACGAATATATTTAGTCTTTTACAGGATAAAATCACCGGCACCAAAAAAGAATAAAACATTAATTTAAATATTTTTCAAGTTTGTAAATAAATTCAATGATTTATTTTAAAATTTTAATCCAACAATAACATAACCTTAAAACATGAAGATTAAGAGTAAATATCTTAATAATTTTATATCTTACCTCACAAATTCACGAACAACAAATAATAATAATCGCACAGAATAAATGTTCATAACCAAAAGTTCTTATTTACTATTCAAACAATTAAATATATATATTTCGAACTTATTATGGGACACATATAGACGAATTAGAAATGTTTGGAAAGGTTTTCTAAGCCCCGCCCATTGTGACATCAGTCTTTGGTAGTCCATTCAAACTTTCAAAAAATCTCCCTGTATATATCACAAATATATGATATTTATTTCATTATTTGTATGATTACTGAATAGTAAAACGTAAAAATTTAAATGGACCAATTAAGAAAAAAATAAAAAAAGAACTAAAAATTAAATTAAATAAAAACACATCAATATATTTTAAAGATAAAATAGAAACTGGCAATGAAAAATTGTAAGAACAGAATTATAAAATTAAGATCCCCTATTGGTATCAAGATTAAAAATATGTAAAAGTGGTGTGTCCATTTCTACTACTTAATCCATTTAGCGGATCACCTTTTTCCTACTTATTCTATACATCATGCATGGTTTTAGTTCTTGATTATTAAATCAATTTCGATCTAATTATATCATCTAGTTTCCAAATAATTAGTTCCATTTGTCACGTTTCATGTACAATATAATTTTGGCACAATAATTGCTTTATAAGTTTGAATTATGTGAAATGTTCGTGCATCCATTTCTTTTTTCTCATTACAATTTTTTCTGTTCATATGTTAAATATTTTTTCTAATTCCTCAGCTTATCTTTAAGAAACCCAACATCTTGACATATAGGTGCACTCTTTAAAATCTAAAAAAAATTTAATACGTACCTGGAGAACATTCTTAGCTTTAAACAAACTTTGGAAGAAACTGGTTTGACTTAATAATCTCAAAATAAAATTAAGGATTACCTTGAATTTTTTCTCCTTTTTCATGTTCAATAACACACCGATATTTGTCTGTAAGCTGTCCATTTGAGAGATTTTGAACACTTAATAAGATACTTGTTATCCATACTAATTTTAGAAACATTTTTTATGTATAAAAAATGCGCTGTCTACAGCTACTGACACTTTATTAAATGTTATTAATCATTAGTGGCAATTTGATATATCTTTTAAATCTATATAGTCAATGAATGAATTTTTGAAAGTTTCGATGGTTTACCAACCGTTATCACAGTAGGTTAGGTATGTGAGAAACTAGTTTTAACAGGGAGGAACTGGCATTGATTTATCAAGTGAGAAATATTTTATTTTTTATTACAGTTTAGTACTTTTCACATTTTAGATATGTTCCAAGTTATGAATATATGAGTTTATATTAAATCATGTTATACCAATTACTCCGGCAGCAAGGTACCTTTCTGTAAGGGTGGATAATTAAAATCTATTCTATCTTATGTAAAATTTTTGGCTGAATACGAATATGTAAGTCCCCCATCTCAAAAAGTGTTACCAATTTTTATAAACAATTTTTTTACAAATAAATTTTCAAATTTTAATATCTTAATTTACAACTAGTCCCATAGTAAAGTACGGCTAAAAATACATTAAAAGTGTAAAACTTTTAAAAGTGTTAAACTTTTTATATACATATAACATATATAGCGTTTTTAATGTATTTAAAAAAAAATTAGTGAATCTTATATTAATATTTAGTGAAGCCTTGGAAAATTGGGAACATGAAATCCTTTTAAATGGAGAACACCTAAACAACATCAACTATGCAGATGATACCTTTATTTTTGCAGACAGTTTAAAACAGTTTACAGCAAGTAATAAACAATGTAAATGAAACAAGCGAAAGATTTGGACTACAAATAAACATATCAAAAACTAAATGTATGGTCATCAGCAAAAATAAAATAGAGATGTCCAACTGTTTATCAAGAATATACCAGTGGACCGAGTAAAACAGTTTACCCATCTTGGAACAATAGTAAACGAACAATGGGATCACTGACAACAAGTAAAATGTAGAAGAGAGAAGGTTAGGAGATGGTTAGGAGTGCATTCAACAATATGGCCAAACTCTTGAAAAGCCACAATCTTAATCTGGAGATAAAAGTAAGGCTCCTACGATGTTATATCTTCTCGATATTATACTTCGGAGTTGAATTCTGGACACTCACTGAAGCGATGGAGAAAAAACTTGAAGTCTTCGAGATTTGGCTATACAGAAGAATCGTAACGATATCATGGATGGACAAAATAACCAACGATACTGTACTGCGAAGAATGGGGAAAGAAAGAGAAGTGATGTATCTATACGATTAAAAGGAGAAAGTTAGAATATCTCGGACACATAATGAGAAACGACATTAAATACAGATTACCGAAAATAATCCTTAAAAGCAAAGTACTAGGAAAGCTAGGAATTGGGAGAACAGGAAAATCATGGTTAAAAAGCCTGAGGAAATAATTCTCCACAGCAGCAACTAATCTATTTAAAGAATCAGTTAATAAAATAATTATAGTCAAAATGATCGCCAATATTCGAAATGAATATGGGCCAAAAGAAGAACATCTAAAAAAAATACCCATAAATTAACTGAACAAAAAGTATTACTGAAAATACAAACTTTTAGGTTGTACACAAAAAACAGATTATTACGGAATACAAAAAAAAATGAGGGACATACCCTATACACAAAAACGTAGCACTGCATAGCACTAAATATCGTTTATAAAAATTTGTGTGATTTCTTTAGTGTGAAGTATGTCAAGAAAAGTAACTTTGTTTAGGTAAGTAAAATACTCAGTTAAAAAATAAACCATTATTCTACAAGATAAAAAATAGTAAAATTAAATAAAGATAAAGTATGTATAAGCAAAATGTGATATTCTGTAAATCAATCTTAACGATTACAAAATCAAGCGATTTTTTCACTATCTGAATACCTTTGAAAATATTTCGAAAGACTATTGTCTTTTAAGGTGCTAATGGTTGTTGAATACTGCTGATTACTGTGTCAAGTGGTAGCGGCAGATCCAGCATTATTAAGAGGAGGGGGAGCGATCGTCTAAATGTCTAGACCTAATATCATAATAATAATAATATCCTGTGGAAGTTTTTTGTCAGTTCTTCTATCAGGCGCGGCTCCCTGCGAATGAGTATACTCTCTGGGTACTCTTAGCAAAGAATATAGACGCTTATAGAAGAACAGTTCAAATGGACGATTTGGCTAGGGTTTACACTTTAAAACACATCTGGCAGTCGGCTTAAACTATCTCATAAAAGATGTAATTAGGGGAAAGTGGGAAAGGAGTACGAACGGAGGAGCTATTTATTTAACTTTGCATCTACGATTAAAAAAAATCCCATGCTTTTTTTGTTTTTTTTTCACAATAAAATCTTTATTTTCAATATATTAAATTGTTAAATTTTAAATTTTGAAATTTAAAAAGGTATGATATTTACAATATTCAAAGCATTTATTTTTTACATTTTATAACTTTGAATTAAAAATAGGTTTGTTCCAACACAACGAAAAACCGTCACATAAATTTTTATTATACTGTTTTTCTGTCCAAAAATTAACGAAATATTTTTTTAAAATATTTCGTTAATTTTTGGGTTAATTCAACCAAAAATTTGATTTTCTCAGGACTTTTCATTAAACTTTTTAGACATGTTTCCATTATTCTGCAGAAAAAACAGTGTTGTGTTTTACATTTTATGTTATTTTATATTAAAAACAAAGAAGAAATTATTAAATTTAGAAAATTTGGAAATATTTAATTCCGGTGATTGATGACTTTATTGGTTGAATTAATTTTATAGTTAATAAAAAGAGAGTTCTTCTTATTAACTATAATATTATTTGTAGATTTGTACCTATTTAAATTAAAAATTCGAATCATAATATTTTTTCTGATATGATTCATTTATTAAAAGTTAAAATATTATTATTTTCTTTAAAAAATATAAAACGCAAAAATTTAATCCTATTCTACGGCCACGCGGCATTATGTGTTCGTAGTTCTCTGGCATTATACATAAAAATATCTGTTGCATTTGTTGCCCCACTCTTTCATATTTTAAAAGCAATAATAGCGTTGACATGACCGCTCCCTTCTCGATCCACCCTCTCATTCTTTTTCATAACGTGCGATCATCTTTTGCAAACTTTCAAACATAACAATGAAAGATTCTATAAGCGTCTATATTCTTTGCTCTTAGCACTGATACCTAGAGGATAGCATGATTACCTGTCGTGGTAGCCGCCGTGGAGCAAAAACTGACACCTGGCAGTAGGTATATAATTCAAACCCATAAAAATGGTGAATATTTATTTATGTCTAGGCTCGCTGCCTGGGGATAGCCAGGGCACGTCTGGAGTCGGTGCTGGACGTGATAGCATGCGGAACGTCGGTGGTAGGGTGTTCAGCAGGCGAGACCCTGTCATACAATTAGCTACATCTCAACAAGAACAACAACCACAAGCGAACCAAACAACAGCCAGAGCTCCACTCGCTGAAGGTGCTGCGCTGGAACATCAGCCGGCGCTCACTTAGCAGGACTACCGAGGAAGCGCATGAAATGGACTGCGTCCATAAATGAAAATATTTTACGCTTTTATTATAAGGTGACAAACCTCGGCCAAGAAACGATCGGCTATCGACAAAATCTGTATGCTGAATTTTGCAGAGAATACCTAGAAATACAAGTATTTAAACAACGAGTAGTAGATCAATACAGAACACACCACGAGTAGTAGTAGTAGTAGAATCCCATACATTGGAATATATTGTTACGAACGTGCATTCGGCGTGGCCCATGTAACGGTTGCATCTCGAAATCGACTAGAAGTTTCCAGCGATGTATCGAGCGTGGGAGAGATCGACCCGTCAAAGAGGCGAATTAGAGGTGGACTACTCCAGAAAATTCTGGTACATAATAACTTTTATATATATGTAACGCGGTTATAACTTGAGTTTAGTTGATAAGATATTTTCGTGCTGTAAACGTATAAATAAATATATTTATATAAATTAAGAACCGCTCGTTTTATATAAATACGCTACAATATGCATACGCTGATTTACCGTGCATCAACAGCAATTACTAATGTTATGGGTATTAAGATCAGAACACGACGGCCTACTAATACCGGAAGGACAGATAATAGAGTTGCACCTTGGGAAAAATGGCTGCTAAGGAAAATTGAATCGTTACGTAGGAACATTCGTCAAATCACGGAATATATTCAAGGAACAACAAGTAGAAAAGTAATCAAAAGAGCTGAAGAAATAATGCTAACTACAGCAAGACACTCACAATATGATCCAGAAAACAACACAGCACAATAAACACATACATTAAAACAAAAACTCTCCGTTTTTGGGACACACTAAGAAGATACACAATCAGTAACAAACGAAAATCCGACATTATACTTTTTGAAATGCCGAGAAGGCGTTTTATCGGAAATTCAATTCTACTGCAGAAAGTGCCAATAAATCGTACCCGAGCCAAGAAGAAATTCATGAGTTTTGGGGAAATCAACTTTCCTCACCAACTGTTCTTAACACCAATGCAGAATGGATCGAAGATACGATGCACAACTGCCAACACTACGTTACTGCTCCCTATGACCCTTCACTGCTGAATATGTTTCAAATTTTGTCAAAGCGCTTCATAACTGGAAATCTCCTGGACCAGGCGGCGTTCAAAACTACTGGCTTAAGAAGTTCTGGAGTATTCTGAGTATACAGAAGTTCTGGAGTATTAATTAATCACACTATTTCTAATCCGCAGGAAATATCATCTTTTCTAATCCAGGTAATAACTTAGTAAATACCAAAAGATCAAAATATTTTTTGTGTAATACATTTTGTGTGCCACAAACTTTCCACCCTTTGTGTTGCTGCAACCTCTACTGGAATTCAAATCAGAAATTTCACGAACCCTTAGTTTGAAAATAAGGTAAATTGTTATAAAAGAGGGCGTCCATCTAGTTCCAATGTGCCCACAGCATACGAGGAAAAGTAAAAGAAATATCATGCAACAGCATCCTATCCTTGCTAAGAAGTTAGAAAAGATCAAATGGGTCATTGGCCCATTTACTTAGAACGAAAAGAAAGATGTGAATATCCAAATTGTAAAGGAACTCAAGTTCAATGCCAAAAATGTAAAATATTTCTTGTTTCACTGCAACTTCTTATTGTTTTCATACAGAACAAAGTTTTCACATGTTGAATTTTTAATATACTATATGCAGTTTTATCGCATCATGTTGCCTTCAGTACATGGTTTCCATATTTTCCAAAAAGGGGAGTAACTCAAAAAATTAGTCTAGAGAAATTTTTAAATTTTTAACTAAAGCTACGTCAAAACAAGAAATGATTTTTAGTATAGATATTTATTTAAAATTCATCTTTTTTAGTTAGTGAAAAATTTGCGTCATGGTTAATAATTTAAAAGGTCAGTCTGTTGATTGTAAACCTTAACCACCCTTAACAAAGAAGGCCATAATTACACAGAAGTAGAAAATTTTGAATTATATTTTCAGCGGTTGTTTACATTTGTGATAGGTTAGAAAGGTTAGAATACTTGAATACAATAATAATAAAACAAAAAGAAAGGTTTATTTGAAAATGACGAAAAGGATATTTAACACAGAAAATAGAACGACGACCAACAAAAAACCAAAACTTGACAATGAAATTGAAGCATTATGGGGCGACGAAGAATTAGATGAAAGTGTCTTTGACGATTGTATAAGATTTGATAGTCAAGTTGTGCAAGAAGTAAGTACATTTTTGTACAATATGAACTTTTGTTATATTTCTTCCTTCTGTGAAATCCATATGTCCTCACATTCTTTGTATTGTGATTATTAAGTAACTTTTAAAAGCTTTTCCATCTCTTGTTATTAATTTTAGTTTCTTCAGTTTTTCTCACTACTTTCCAATAATTTCGAAGTCTTTACAAATGCTTTGCTTTATAACAAGATGCACTAGAGACTTTTAGAGTATTAAAGCAATTAATTTACTATATTGTCCTTTACTTAGACCTCACTTATAATATTTACACATCAAAATCGAGACATTTCAACACAAGTTCTTGAAATATGTAGCATATAAGCAGGGTATACCTTTTGAATTAAATCAAGTAAATTATGATCAAATTGAAACCCAACTTGGTATTCTCTCATTGTAAAACAATTAATTAAAGATGCTTTATGGCATAATTTATTTAAGCAAGTAGGTCTGCATTTACATCTCTGTAGAACATGATTAAACCAAACTTTTTATGTTCCTCTTCACAGAACCAACTATGCATATCATAATTTTTTATCTTGTGCACTAAGATGAACAAATATTCATCCAGATCTACTTAGATTTTTTTGCACTGAAGGCTAAATTCATTTCTGGTCTCAGGCATGTGTTTATTTGAGTGGATGTGGAATAGGTATGTATATTTGATATGTATATGTAAAATTAAATTATGTGATGAAGTTTGTGATGTTTATATTTTATTTTGTTTTATTGTATTTTTAAATAAGTGTATTGGAATATAACTATTGTAAACATTCTTAATCTTATTGGACTGCTACCCATTGGAAATACATAAGTAAATATATGTAGAGGAATTGAAAAATACAAATATAGTTCTTCTAAGAAATCAAAGAATAAAGTGGCAGCAGTACAACACTCAGCTGCAGCTTTTGCAACTAAATTTAGAGAGTGAGTGGCACAAGAAATCCACAACACCAAGATATTATGTTCTATAAGTTTAGCCTGAACACCAATGCATTTTCGACTCATAACTTACAAGTTATTGTAGGACTGTCCCCTGCAGTTTTTCAAATCATTATCATGTTCTTGCAAGAATGTAATTAGAGAATTGCATATGTTTTCTGCTTTATGACTGTGATTTGGCAAAAATATGAGAAACCTTTCAATGCGAGTGAAACCTTCGTTGTAACAAAATATCACAGTTAATTGATGCTAAACCTTGTTTCCAAATAAACTATAACACTAATTAGTCTTTGAATTACAATTTTCCAATAATTCTTTATTTTTTCGGCCTATTTTGGTATGTCAGTATCAATATGCTTTAATTCTTTCGCAACACAGGCTACTGCAATGACTTCATTAAAGTGTGCTTTGGCCATTTCGTGATCCATAAGCCTACGACCTGCATATTTCCAATCACAAAATCCACTATAGCTAAAATGTGTATGAACAGTAGATAATAATTCACAAACAAAGCAATACACTCGCCCAGTGGAAGGTGAAAAACATAACCTTGTCATACATTGTAGAGTTCCTGTATCTTCTACCAATTTCTGTTTAAATGAACATCTCTTAAGCATAATATGTTCATCTCAATGCTGTAGCTGAAAAGTTCCCACTCCAATCAGATTATGACTTCTGCACATCTTTTGTTCTTCTCTTGAGCAAGTTTTCGTTTTTGCACTCCACTTTGATAATTTTGCTTACTCTTATGTCTGATCAATGTGTTCCATATCCTGAAATAAAAAGATAGGTACCAGTAAGAATGGAAGCACACAGCACAATTTTATTTAATTTAAAAATACACAACTTTAGAATAATTTAAAAATTAGCAATTAAACTTGTATCCCATCTTTTTACAGTTAAAATCGAATGTACAACTTTTTCTGACCTGGCCTGACTATGTTTGAATGAGTAGCAAGGCTTTATTTAAATTTTTATATTTTAAAACACCCAACCCTCCAAATACTACGAAAACTCTATGCTATTACAAAAATATAATAAAAACCTACTTTTTTCAACAGTTGTAACAGTTTGAAATGATACAAACAGGTGGGTAATGTTTCTGTTACTAAATTATAGAATTAAGATCGAATAACCTTTCTGCAAGTAACAACAAAGTCAGAGAACAAATACAAAAGGAGAACTAAAACTCGCCTTCCCACTTTCGTAAGATATTAATTTTGATATACATATGTGTTTGCATAAAACAAAAATAATTCTATGTGAATAGTGTGCTGATTTTTGCACACGGGAATATCAGCTGACCTTAATCTGGCCCTGGTGTTCAGACTATAGCCAATTTAGAAATGTAGATGCAAACCATCATTTTTATTTTGTGAATAGTTGTAATTATCTATAATGCGCTAACAAGAGATCACTAAAAATATCCTTTCTTCTTGTAAAATTTCTCTAGGTCACAATCTTCTCCCCATAAAGGCTTTTAATAAATAAATGTAGGCTGCTGCTACTGGTCTTTAACTGGTATATTTGATAGGAGAACTAAACCTTTTGAGTCAGTGTAAATATTTTAGGTTTAAAAGGAGATGGGATATGCATGTTAAATACTGAGATATTGTTCTTATATAAGTTTTTATTTCCTCTCTTACTACTTGCCAATTTTAAATTTTCAAATTTTCTAACTTAATTGTGTTTTTAAGGAGCCTAGAAATGAAAATGAAAGCATTCTACCTAATTATACTATTTTTAAAGCTCCAAGGCAAATGTTAAGCTCTACACAATTGGAAGTTCATGCAACAACTAGTAAATTGTCAAATTATGATGAAACCCATAAAAAATCTAGCATTGAATTTGAAATTCAAAAACTAAAAGTACAGTGTAAAGAAAAAGATGGGGAAGTAGCAGTTTTAAGAAGTCAATTGCGTGATATTAGAGCCCAAAGCAATGTAGATTTTCAGAAATCTCAAGCTGAATGGAAAAGTAAATTTACTAATACTGAGAAACAAATACAAGCAGTGAAGAGTGAGTTAGAATTCAAAGTAAGTTAATAACTTTTATGATTTAAAGATTTTAATTTCATCTTATTTAATAATTTGTATAAAGTAAATAGAACACATTAGAGATTGTTGTTTGATAGTTGAAGCATTGAAAGACATGGATGTTTTTGTCAATTTTTAAGTATCTTTTAACAGTTTTTACATTGATATCCATGTAAATTGATAATTCTTTGATCAGAAGAAAAAGACAAGAAAAGATGATATTTAATCTTTAATGATTTAATTATATGGATGTAAGTAAGTGTAGGCTATTACTTTATAAATGTGTGAGTTTTTCATATATGTATTAGTTGTACTTCTTACAGATTCCTTGGTTTCATAGAAATTCTTTGAATTATGGTATGCCAATTGTTACCTAATCAGTTTGTATTCCAGTAATTTTTTATTACATTGCTTCATGAATTGGGGCTTGTCTAATTGATAGCTAAATAGTATGTATTCAATATTTATTTCATATTTTATGTCTTATCTGACCATGGAATGAGAGGTCCAAAACGGAATTTCCTGCAGTTGATACTTCAGAGAAAAATAGCATATCATTAATTAGAAAATAATCAGAAAACATTGATATCACTTACTGATACTGGGTTATGTTAACTGTTCAATATAATATTATTTTCTTGTTTCATTTTTGTACTAAGTACCTACTTATTTAATGGGAATAAATCACAATTTTATACAGAATTCGAAACACAACATATAAAGTATTTTTAATTAAAATTGTGGATAATCCCCAGTAAATATATTAATTACTATTACCCTTTCTTTGTTGGTCCATTAGATCTAGTATCTTTGTCAGAATTTAATATTTTGTGGTTATTCTTTTCACTGTTGTGTGCTTTTATGTTATGATTTGTTTCATTTTAGTTTTAATTTTAGTGCCAATAACCAGAATTTTTTCTGCCAATATTTGACTGGGACACCTGGATATCCAAGCAAACAAAATCTGCAATTTTTGTGTTATTGCTTTATGTACATATATATATATATATATATATATATATATATATATATATATATATATATATATATATATATATATTGCTTTATATATATGCCATGTGGCTCTACCAAGTGGAAAATTCGCTAATATCATTACCTAGGGTATCAAAATAATTGAGCATTGAGAAACTATTTCTGTGTTATCCAGCCCTAGGTGCCTGGTATGCTGGATTATCTTAAACAAGATTTCTTATCTGGATGTCATGAGAAGTATTCATTTTGCAAGGTCTGAACATGAGATCTTCACCAAGACCAAACTCATGTTCTCCAGGAGGCTCCTCAGAATGACATTAGTAGTTGACAGAATTATAGTTATCATCTTGGATACTTTCCATTCTCCGTTGTCCTCTTTTCTGTGCCTCAGTAAGCCCTAGACTTGGCGATTTTCCTGTTATATTTAATACATGGGTTGTTTTTGTTTGGTATCACCACACCAATAAGCATTGTTTGTATAGTTAGTTTGTTAGCTACTGTGACATTCAGTCTATTATGTGCCACTGGTTGGCCAGGTATATCGTTGGCAATTCAATATAACAGATAGGACAGTTTCTTTGTGGGTGTCAAATATTGTCATTGTCATGCATTTGTCATTTTGTACCTGAGAATGTTCGTTAATTATTTCAGTTATTTTTTGGTTGGAATTACCTGATCCTGAATAAAAAGATTCTACAAATTTCTATGTTGGATAGATAGTGTCTTTGTATTTCTTGTGTCTTCAGTGGTGTTATTTCATCTACTCTAAATTATATGATGTAAACTAAATACCTTGGATTGCTTCTGAAAATAAGTTTGTAACTGATATACCTTTTTGTCTTATTTCTAGCCTATATCAATTAGTTCTCTTCATTCTAGATATCTTGGTGATGATGTTTGTCTTACTGCACTCTAAGTGAGAGCGCCCACCAAAGTGGCGTGGCAGTGGCAAGTAGCAAGTAGCACACGTCTAGCATAATGTAACCAATGAAAACGAATGATTCAGTTTACACCAAAATGACAGTAACGTCATTCATTCTAATCATTCGTTAGGATTGGTTACATTATGCTAGACGTGTGCTACTTGCTACTTGCCACTGCCACGCCACTTTGGTGGGCGCTCTCACTAAGGATAATGTTTGGATGCATTTGTCAGAAATGTTCTTATTTTATGCTGAAAATTTTCTACATATGTCTTACTCCATTTAATTGTATCAAATGATTGAACAAAAGAGCAGAAGCATGCATGCTTTAACAAACTTTTACTGTTTGTGATTTGGTAATAAAATGTTCATTCCTCCTATAAACATGATTATCAGTTTTTTTTCATTTATTTATACATATTATTCTTGCCTATGGTTTCGATGCTTTGGCCTCTTTGCATATTAAATCTTCCCAGCCGAATCTTTTCACTGATGATTAGGCTTCGTCACCACAGGTTTGTTATTTTTTATTCATAGTTATTGGAATTATTGCTTACCAAAACCACAGTGTATATCCATATCACATTCGAGTAGTACCAAAGGTCTACAGTACTGTGTTTCAATTGAACACTATAATTGAACTCTATAAAAGATGTTGTGTTTTTTTTTTTAGAATTTAGAAATAGCTAACCTCAGACAAAAAGTTCTTAGTCTCAGTAAGGCAAATGTAAATATAACAGTTAATAATGATTCTACTAAAAGTCCCAAACCTTTGCCCAAGATTCAATCTGAAGAAAAACAAAAGGATTTATGCAGCAAATTATGTATTACTTCTCTTACTGGTAAGTAAATAATACATTGATCATATTAGTTCTAATGAAAAAATTAACCTACATTTTTACACTATAATAAAGAAATGGAACTTTTCCAGTTTACATACGGCGTTCGTTAAAAGTTAAAGATATTGTTAATAAATTTTGAAAATCATAAACTTGTTACTTTCCGGTCGTGCTGCATCCAGTTGGTTTATTGTACATCTTCCATTTCTTCATGATAGTCATTCCAGGATTATGGAATCCTGTACTAGCTTATACAGTTCTAGAGGATGAGTACAAGATGTTTATGGAGTCAATAGTCTCCAAAAAGTGTTTGTCGCCTGTGATTTAATGACTCGCAATCATGAAAGATATGGTGACTGTTTCAGGTCCAATGCTAACTTAAAGCTCCACTAAACTGCCCCATTGTATGCAGGTGTGCCTTAACTAGCACATGTTCAGTAAAGAAGCCTGTTATGACTCTGCATGTGTTTGACAGGATATGTTTTCTAGTGAGTTATGTTGCCTTCGGAACCAGGCTTTTGTTCAGTCGTGAACAATCCTTTTTTGCATCCCACGGTAGGCTTAGGACCGAAGTATTCTGGCAAGTTCATCAACTCTTTCATTGTAATGTATTCCAGGTGGTCTGGAACCCATAGCATTGTTTCACTGTTATGTTTCACCCGTTTGTCGAGTATCTATCAGCATTCCCACATGAGCCTAGAGTCCACCTTAGAGCTTATAAGAATCTCCATGGCTGCTTGCCTATCTGTGCATATATTGGTCTGTTTCTGCTTGACAACTGTCATGTTAACTTCTCTTGCACACTACAAGATTGCTAACATCTCGCCTGAAATAATAAGCTATTGATCCTGCACCCTTCTGCTGTTTTAGACCCGTCTGTGTATCAGATATAATCCTGCAGTCTGGGTCGACTGTTCCCTCTGTCCCATACATCTCGTGGCCAGATGTCTACTTGGAAAGGTACTTTAGGCCTGTATATGTACTATATGGTCAGTAATCATCCATTTGATATTCATTCAGTACCCCTGATTTCATTTATGATGTTACTATATACTGATCTAACCATTACGTTACTTACTTATGTTTTCTCGAATTCCATAATATCCCATCCTCGCCTCTCCTCTTATAATTATGTGTAAAGGAGAGAGATACAGTAGGACCTACATAGCTGCCGTTGGTGTGCCTCTCATAGCCCCTGTGATTCCGAGACAAGCAAGTCTTTGTACTTTGCTTAGTTTGAGGATGGCACTTTTATTCTGCACTTTCGGCCACCATACCACTGATGCATATGTAATTTTGTTTTATCACCATATAAATCCAATACAACATGCTTGGTTTTAACCCTAGAAGGTCAACAAGTATCTACAACATTGCTTACATCTGATTTTCTAAATACCTTTGTTTTTAAAATCTTAAATAATTAGTAGTTTCGGCGTACTACTGCTACAAATGCTAATACTATTAGCATTTGTACAATTTAATTCATTTCCTCTTACTTTTATAAAAACTTTACGGTAGACTATAAATAACCTCCCTTGGTCCATTGTGGAACTGACAGTTATCTAGACTACTATCTAGTTATCTAGACCAGGGGTCTCCAAACTTTCCAGCCTTAGGGCCATACTGATTACTCCAGTAAGTTCCGAGGGCCAAGATGGCAACACTGTATTTTATATATATTTTTTTATATTTTATTATTATTTATATATTTTATATATTTCTGTATTTTATGTGTAATAGAATTTTGCTGAAATGTGGATCATTTTTTGTAAAATAACGAATAATTTAATTTTTTGTAAGTGTGGTAAGCTGTCAACGTTATTAAGTATGTCAAATATTCACCTATTTTTGATATATTTTAATTTAATACAAGGTAGACATAAACAAACAAAATATTTCCACCAGTGGAAATCTCCAATCTCTCCTGAGATTGTCCACTAATAACATAATTATTCTTTCTACTATTTTTCAACGCCATCGTTAGAAATTGTCACAAACACACTTAACTATCCGAAATAATAAGAAGTCTGAAAAATAATAGCCGCAAATCACTTAAGTGCTACGCACCTGATAACTGGGAGGAGACTTAAGACCCCACCTAAGTGGGACGAGTGCGAGGACGAAGCGATGACAATAGTGGCGTAACTACAAGTCAGTTCCTATGAAACTGTTGTGAAATAAAATAGGGCGTACCTCCTTAAAACAAGTTTGTGCGTGTAACAGTATTTTGATTTGATTTGAATTGTTGCTTTTGTGTGTGATTTAGTAGAATGGAAAAGAAGCGAAAAATTGATAGTGAATGCAGAAAATTCAAAGATCAGTGGAACATTCAGTATTTCGTAATTGAGTCCAGTAACAAGGCGCTATGTTTGATTTGCAATGAAAGCATAGCCGTTCTTAAAGAATATAACATGAAACGTCATTATGAAACAAAACATTCTCAAAATTACTCAAAATATACAGGAATTGTGCGGACAGAAAAATTCGAAGCTTTGAAGTGCGGATTGAAATCGCAGCAATCTTTATTTACAAAAGTCAAAACTGAACAAGAGGCGGCAACTCGTGCCAGCTTTCGTGTTGCTCTTGAAATTGCAAAACGTGGAAAACCATTCACCGATGGAGAAATGATCAAGGAATGCATAATTGCAGTAGTCGAAGAAATGTGCCCTGAAAAGGTAAATTTATTAAAAACTCAGTATGTCAGCAAACACTGTGGCTCGAAGGGTAGAAAACATCGCTGAAAATATATCCTCTCAACTGTTCGACAAAAATGGACATGTTGAGTGGTTTTCTTTGGCCTTGGATGAGTCAACGGATGTGTCAGATACTGCTCAGGTGTTGATTTATATTGGAGGAGTAGATAAAAGCTATGAAGTGCACGAAGAACTTCTTGATATGTATAGTATTCATGGCACAACTACTGGTACCGATATTTTTAAAGGAGTTGAAATGGCCATTAATAAAAAGAACCTTGGATGGAAAATCTTGAAATGTATTACAACTGATGGAGGCAAAAACATGAGTGGGAAAGATAAAGGAGTGGTCGCTCTTGTGTCAAAGACTGTAGAAAATGACGGCGGCTCAAAACCATTAGTCTTACATTGTATCATTCATCAACAGTCTTTGTGCTGAAAATGTTTGGATATGTCTGACGTTCTGAAACCAGTCATATCAACTGTTAATTTCATCAGATCTTTTGGGTTGAATCACCGACAATTCCGACAATTTATTGCAGAGATTGGAGAAACAGACTTACCTTATCATACTGCCGTACGCTGGCTTAGTTGTGGGAAAGTCCTTCAGCGCTTTTTTGAACTTCGAGCAGTGATCGAAATTTTTTTGAATGAAAAGCACCGCCCTCTTACTGAATTACAAAACAACGCATGGCTATGGAAGTTAGCATTCTATGTTGATTTGACAAAACATGTGAACGAACTGAATTTGAGATTGCAAGGAAAAAACCAGCATCTTCCTGATTTATACACTAATATCAAGTCATTCCGGATGAAATTGATACTGTTTCAATCACAACTACGAAGTAAATGTTTTTCACATTTTAAAACATGTAAAATATTCAGCCACACTACTGAGACTGAGTTCCCTATCGATTTTGCAATCGAAACTTTGAGTGCTTTGAAGATAAATTTTGATACTCGTTTCTCGGACTTTGATGCCATTGCGAATCAAATTAAGATTTTTCAGAATCCTTTTGATGCTGACATTGAAACCCTAGCCCCGGAACTTCAAATGGAAATTATTGATCTTCAGTGCAGTGATATAATTAAGAACAAATATGCAAACTCATCTTTGTTGGAATTTTATAAGAGTCTTCCACTGACACAATTTGATAATTTGCATAAATTTGCTCGTGGGCTGTTTTCCGTTTTTGGTACTACTTATTTGTGTGAGAAAACCTTCTCCAAAATGAAGTACACAAAAAATGTATACAGATCTAAATTAACTGACGAGCATCTTAAATCTCTTTTAATAATTGGTACAAGTAAAATTAGTCCACAACTACAAACTATTGTCGGTGGAAAATCTCAATTACATACATCTCATTAGCATTTTATATGTCATGTTTGTTATAAGGTATGTGTTGTTCATTACTTACAATGTATAAAATGTTATAATGGATTCATTTCAATAATTTGTTAGTTATTATATGCTGAAGTTAAATTGACTGCATAAATTATACATGTCTTTACTCATTACCATTCTGTGTTTCTTTATCCAACTTATCACAAACATTTTATTTGCTATAAAAAATATTTGTTCTCTAAAAGGAGTTTTCAAGTATGTCTCCGCGGGCCGGACAAAATCTGTCTGCGGGCCGGATGTGGCCTCGGGCCGTAGTTTGGAGACCCCTGATCTAGACGGTAGTTTACGGCTGACAAGGTCGTAAATACGAGTAAACAGTTAGGTCAAAATTATATTTTGCACTTTTTGAACTGCCTCTGCCGTGTTAGGTTATTGTCTCGCGCTTCTATATCGTTTAGCAAAGTTTGAAACATTTTTTCGTATATAATGTTTATGTGATAAAAAAACTGAAAATGAATATATATTTAACGCAGAAAGAATTAGAAGAAGTGGTAGCAAACCTCTCTATTTTGCAATAGTCACTCAGACGTGGGTGAAAACGAAGACGACGACTCTCTCTTTGTTATTCGTTTCATTTATTCGTTAAAAATAGGATTGTTTCTCATTTACGCTTGAAACAATTTTTTTACATATTACATTGACATTACTTTATATTAACATTTTTATCTTTTGACGAGCAGTTTGTGTAGTACGGATCAAAAGATACGTGACGGGGGAGGCGGTCTTTTGGCTAGCAATCTAGCACTGTATAATGAGTTAAATATAGAATTTCACATTTCTTGACAGGTTCTAGTGGATTGATACAGTTGTATATTAGAAAATATACATGGGATGGATATTTTAATCTACAAAATAATTATGTGCGAGAGATGGAAACAAATGCTTTCTTTAAAAAAGTTATGTAAATCTCTTTATTAGCAGAAATTCGATTTTGTTTGTTGTTGATATTTTGAAGATGTAGACACTAGATTTGGATATTTTTAATAATTTACTTTTTGTTTTTTGACAGATTACCCTTTACAAGGAGTAGTAAACGAATCTATGGTTTCCATATTGAAAAATGAAAAATTTGTACTGGAGAATAAACAGATCCATTCATATAAAAACGCTATCCCTTATCTTCAGAATAAAAACATATCTACAAGGGTTATACTGGATAAAAACAGAGCAGACATACAACTTATTTACCCCATTTTATTAAAATTTTGTGAATATAGAATAGAAGAGATTGATTGTTCGAAAAATATTAAGGATATAAGCAAGGTATGGGAAATGATATTACATTTACATTTGTTTATAAGTTCGTGTTAGTTATACCTAACAATGCAAGCTATTCATCGATGAATATCTACATTTTGTAGACAATGGTGTTATAGTACCGAATTGTGGAGAACAGTTAAGAAAGGGTTTATACTTATACTATATGTAGGATATCTTGTTATGTTTATAATAAGATTACATCTTATTATTTAAGTTTAGTTTACAATTTCATTTATCTGTTACGCCCCTGCACAGCTTTTTAGTATAAACACATGTGGCTTGAAAAGTAGAGAATTTTAATTACCAGATAAGACAATCCCTCGCCAAATACTTAAATGCCTTTGTTCTATTATTGTAAAAGATAGTTGAGATACTTTGTTCTGGTGCGTTCAAGGTAGAAATTTGTGCAAAGATTTATTTGAGATCGTAGGCTTCCACGGCCAGAGTCAGAATTATAATTTATTCGTCTTCCGGGTTTGGACCGTGTCATTTGTGAGTGACCCAAAAGTGGGTTCATCTCGACGTTTCGCTACAATTGTATGTATCTTCTTCAGGAGAACAAAGAAAAAGAAAAAGAAAGCAAAAGACAGGAAGATGGGTAGTTAGCAACGGTAACTCAGTTACTCAACGCAACCAGAGGCGAATACTAACTACCAAGATGGGCATTTGGTCACAGTAACTCAACTACTCAACGCAGCCAGAGGTGAAAACCAAATGCCAGGACAGGGATTCACGTCCAACAGCTCAGAACACTAACGCGTCGAGAGGCGGGGAGTGAATCCGACGATTACTTCACTTCATTGTTGCGTTGGTTTTTGTCTTTGGTTTGATACTTCTTTTGTTGGGGTTTTGTCATCCTGTTTTAGGCTTTTGCCTCTTCAGGATGTGGTTCTTGTCTTTTTGGTGTTGGCTTCTGGTTCTTTTTCTTCGTGATCCACTGGTGGAGTGCAGCCAGGACAATCAGTGGAGAAAGGCAGTGGTCGGTTCTTTTCAGAATTGATTTCTAAAAAATATTAGTGAATAATTAGTGATTGTTAAATTAGTATATGTACAAAATGCGATATTAATATATGTATAAATACATGCATTAATATGTTATAATTAGTAAATGTGTTAAACGCGACGCGAGAGGGCAGCTGCGGCTGTAACCTCAAAATAGACAGGTATCATTTGCAAATGGGATCGGGAAACCGCAGAAAACCGATCCCCCCCTGTCTAGGCAAGCTCGAAGTGAGCAATTTAACTAGGAATGCGACGGAAATAGAGGGGAGTTGCCTCCTGTATGTCAATGTATTCATCAGGGAGTTCGTTACTGGCGAGTTCCAGTAGAATTGCGGGGAGGTGTGGGATTTTGGGTTTAGGATGTCTGGTGAATACATTGCCGCGGGTAGAGCAGACAGGTTTTAGGATGCGTTGAGCTCTGAGGTTTTGGCTCCGGATAGTGCGTGTAGTATAACTTCTGCTCAGAGAGTGTAGTCTCTCATTTAGGGGCTGGATATTAGATAATTGATGAATGAGGGCTGAAGGGTAGTCGTTGCGTCTGCCATTCACTCTACGCAGAATCCTCCGCTCTAGACTTAACAGGTTTTCTTTGACTGATTTTGATATTGTAGCATAAATATTGGATCTGTATTCAAAAATAGGTCTAATAAAAGTTTTATAGGTGAAAATTAATGTTCTAGAGTGCGTAGCCCCGAAATTACATCTCAAGCTATTGAGGAGACTCAATCTGCTCCTAGCCTTAGCACAGGCTGTGCTCAAATCGGCCCTCCAATTCAAAGTTCGTGTGAACTTCACACCGAGGTATTCGATCTGATCACGGAGTTGGAGTTGATCTCCCCACAGCGTGAGATAGTTTCTTTCGTTAAAGGAGGCCGCGCGTACACTGTGATTAGGGTGTCTAAAAAGAATCATTTGAGTTTTGTTCGGATTCAGGGACACTCTCCATCTCCTGCACCAGTTTTCAACTAGTCTAAGGTGATTTTGAGCATACCTGAGAACAGAATCAACGTTCGTTGCTGTAGTTACCAGAGCAGTATCATCCGCGTAGAGTATATATATATATATATATATATATATATATATATATATATATATATATATATATATATATATATATAGGGCTAACTCTAGGGCTAACTCTAGCCCTAGAGTTAGCCCTAGACTCCAACACAGATCAGAGGTAATGTAAGTCAATAAAACTTCACCAACTACAGGGGGTCATATAAGATGCCCCCAGTTTCATTTTTTACATTACACAAGTCAAGAGTCTATTGCATTTACCTGAATAAATAACACGAAGAATATTATTTTTTAAATCCAGATGTCAACCGAATGTTTTTTATGTGGCCACACAATGTTTTTTAACAACCTTTTTATTAAACTGATGATGGAATGATACATATTCCGAAAAGATCTTCTTTATAATAAAAAATTTTAAGCTTTTAATAAGCGTTTTTATACCTTAATACACACGAACACCACGTGCTTTGTATTCAACAGGTATACTAGCCACTCCTGGATATCTCCACTTCATGGTTTGTTCCAGTTTCACTTTTAAAAAAAAAAGGAACATAGGGCTTCCACAAAGTGTCTCCAGCGAACTCTATTTCTGGCTAGTGCTTTGATTTCAAGCCAGGATTTTCCCATTGTTCTTCCTTCGTCCAGTACTGTCCTTCTCCAAGTTCCCTTAGGTCTGCCTACTTTCCGTCGGCCTTGGGGATTCCAATCCAGTGCTGTCCTGGCAATGTCATTTGGCGGTCTACGGAGTGTGTGGCCCAGCCATCTCCATTTTCTTCGCCTTATTTGCTTTATGACATTTTCTTGGTTGCTTTGGTTCCATAAATTTTCATTGGAGATTCGGTTAGGCCAAAATATACGAAGGATTTTTCGTAACGCTCTATTAATGAAAACTTGTAATTGGTGTACTATGGGTTGCTGATATCTTCCACGTTTCGCAGCCATACAGTAATACAGCTTTTACATTTGTGTTGAAGATTTTTAGTTTCGTTTTAGTTGGGTAAATCCTGGATTTCCATATGTTGTTAAGCATGTTGTAGGCGTTGCGAGCCTTATTATTATTCTTTCATGTACATCACGCTCTGTACCCCCATTACAGTCAATTATGCTGCCCAGATATACAAATTCCGCTACTCTCTCAATTTTCTGGTCGTTGATCATAATAGGTTGGTTGTTTCTGGTACCAAATCGCATTTCTTTGGTTTTGTTGGTGTTTATTTCTAGACCAACCTTCTTTGATTCTTCTTGTACTTTGTTTACTTGGAGTTGCATGTCCTGTTTTGTATGTGCTAGGAGGCATATATCATCAGCGTAATCTAGGTCTTCCAGTCTGTTTGTTAATCCCCAGTAAATTCCTCTATTAGAGTTTACCTTTGTTAGTACGGAGTCCAGTACAATGTTAAATAGTATAGGGGATAAAACACAGCCCTGCTTTACTCCGTTTAGCATAGCTATTGGGTCAGATGTTATGCCGTTGTGTAGGATTTTGCTTTCTGTGTCACTGTAGAGTTCTTTGATGAGATTTACTATTTTTTCTGGTATTCCTATTTCCTGCAGTGCTTTCCATATGGCCGTATGTGTGAGCGTGTCAAAAGCTCTCTTGAAGTCCACAAAGCACACAAAGAGAGGAGAGTTGAATTCCTGTGACTGTTCTACAATTATTCTTAGTGTGTTAATTTGGTCCACGCATGATCTGTTTGGTCTGAAACCGGCTTGTTCCTTCCTCAACATTGGTTCTACACTCTTTGTTAGTCGGTTGTTTATAATTATTGCTGTTAATTTATTTATAGTATTCAGAAGTGTGATTCCTCTCCAGTTTTCGCAATATCTTGTGTCGCCCTTTTTTGGTATCTTTATTATTAATCCCGTTTTCCATTCTTTGGGGAACTTTTCCTCTCTCCAAGCCCTTTTCAAGAGTGGTTGGATTAGCTCTGCCACTGTACCTGGGCAAGCTTTTAACAACTCTGGTGGAATATTGTCAGGGCCGGCTGCTTTGTGTGCTTTCAGTTTTTCTATGGCCATTTCTATTTCTTGCGTTGTTGGTTCGTTGGTGTTAATTCTCAGTCCGCGTAGAGTAGAGTGGTGGTTTTGTTTCGTGTAGTATTTGGGAAGTCGCTGTTGTATATTGTGTAAAGTATGGGGGCCAGTACAGAACCTTGTGGTACTCCGGCTGTTGGAGTAAAGGAATCAGAGAAATAACCACGCTCCTTTACTCTGACCAGACGTTCAGAGACGTATGATTGGATTAGTCTGACGAAGGGAATTGGTAGTCCAATGTTCAGTAGTTTCTTGATCAGTCCCACATGCCAGACTTGATCAAAGGCTTTTTGAACATTGACAATTTCAGTCAATGCCGTATTAGTAGAGCACCCTTCTCTAAAGCCGAATTGAAAAGAGGGAATGATATTGTGTTCGTTAGTGAAGTCAATGAGTCTTTCTTTTAGGATCCTCTCAAAGACTTTTGCTAAAACATTTGTAAGTGAAATCGGCCGGTAAGAGTTAGGATCTGTGCGGGGTTTGCCCTTTTTTAGGAGCATAATTGTATTTGCTACTTTCCATTGTGACGGGAAATAGCAGAGTTTGAGGGTGGCATTGACAATATTTGTTATGTAGAGGTAGACACTCGGAGGAAATTGTTTCACGCAGCTCCTGGCAATGTTGTCAGGACCCGGTGCATTCGATTTGCCGATATGACAAAAATTTTTGAAAGTTTGTTGATCCACCGGTGCCATGATGGGATGGTCATGCGGCACCTGAGGATCGAAAGGGGCGCCGAGTAGTCTGTTTACGTCTCTTTCAGTCGCAGTCAGGAAGGCATGGTCAAATCTAGGATTATTAGGTGAGATTAAAGTGTTTTGTAAATGGTCTTTAAAGGCTTCGGCCTTTTGTTGATGTGTGTTAATGATTTGATTGTTCACTATAATGTGAGATGGATTATTGGTTTTTTGTTTAGTTAGGCACTTGAATTTATGCCAGAACTTACC